GAAAGTCGAGGCTTGAATTTTTTCTTCAGTTCCCCCAGCATGAGAAATGCTGACCGTGTTCTTCCTTTTTGGTTTTCTGATTCCAGATCTTTGCATATTTTATTATAGTATTTGGCTTTATCTTTTTGAGCTGATCTTTGAAATTTTCTGTTCAGCTCTTGGCCCTCCTCAATTCTTCCATTTGCTGTAGCATCTCTACACTGGAGAGCAAGTTTCAGAGTCTCTTCTGACATCCATTTTGACTTTTTCCTTCTTTCTTGTCTTGGCTAAAGAAAGCAAAAGGTCAAGAAAAAAAGAAAAGACCAAAATGTCAAGAGAGATTCTGAAACTTTCTTTTGGACAAAGAGTAGCTAAAGCTTAATTCACTAGACAGTGAATTAAGAAGACTAAAGAATTGATGCACTGGAATCATGGTTTTGGTATTACATATACCATGGATTTCCAGAAGAATGAACAAATATGTATTGGAATATTATAGCTAGAATCCGTAGAAGTGAGGTTGGTGAGACTTCATCTCAAGAACTTTGTACGTGTTCTTGGGAAGGATCAGTCTCTAGGGAAGGACATCCTGCTTGGCAAAGCATAGGGTCAGTAAAAAAGGAAGATACTCAATGAGATGGATTGGCACAGTGACTGTAATAATGTGTTGGAACACAGAAATAATTATGAGGATGGTACAGGACTGAGTAGTTTATCATTCCATTGTAAATAGGGTCACTATGAGTTGGAACAGATTCAATGGCACCTAACAACAACAATGTGAGTCAGTGGAATAATAGATCTTTTCACACGTTGAGATGAGCTTAACTTCAGCTCTGTAATATTCTGTTTAAAATGTTATCCTATTGAGACTTCTGTGTCATATTTGTCTGTAAAAAGAGTATGGAGTTGGTATAAGACCTCCTATGAAACGGAGGTCAGGCATGGTTCCAGCCTTCCATCTTTACCCCTCCTGACACCAGCCATTCCTCCCACGACACTCTGCTGGGTTCGAAAATTCACAAAGATCTCACTGAAAATACAATTATAGGATTTATTAGGGAAGTTAACATGTTGAAATTCAGGATCAGAAATTCTCTGGATACAGTTCTTCAGTCAAGACAGCCTCTTCTCAGGCTTGCCCACAGACATACTTCTCTCTGAACTTTGGGCTCTTAGCCAGGAGGTCCCTTGGCCTTTGCCTTGTTCTCACAGTGTTACAAAGCTCTTTTTGTACTGCTAATAAATGTCCAAAGAGCACTCCATTTTTCCATAATTGTCATCCCGTAAGCACTCAGCTCTAGCTCAGTAGGTCAGCAAATTTAGCTCCCCCAATTAAGTGCCTGGAAGTAACTCTCTGAAAGTAAGCCTCCTGCCTGAAGGCACTTAACTTGACCTGATTTTTGGGCTGGGAATCCTGCTGTACCTTGTGTTCTTGATGCTACCACTTCTGACACTGCCACTGCTTCTCAGGCACTCCTCTGGTGCCACAGTTGTCCTCAGTGCAGGAGGTTTAACACGCAGGGATCTATAATTGCACTCCACAACCAGTCCTCCTTTTTGATGGTGGTGAGATCTTTCCTTCTGTTGCTGCAATGGTTCATTTTTTACCCAGCAGTATAGCAAAAGTGACAAACCCCCCACATTAGAGTTCCAAGTTTTTGAAGTCACAATTACCTCATTTAACAATCACTCATAACTGAATCATATCCTATCAGCATCTCCCGATCACCTTCTCAAACCCAGACCCTTGAGAAAAAAGTTGTTTGGTAGTAGTTATAAAGAATATTGCTACAAGAGCCATATCAGATAACTCATTGCACCACATTCACCCAAGCCAATAGCTTATCTGTTATGTATGGTTTGTATTTACTGTTTATAAAGTATAATATATGTGGTCAACTGTAACACAGTCCTGTCGGAAAGTATTTATGCAAATTCTCTTCTAATCATGCTGTAAATTTCATCTCAAGATTAGTAGGATGTTCATGCATATTATGTTTTCTATCAGTTTTATCTTCTGAAAGATGCAGAAATAAATTCATGTTTCATTCCACCATCTTTAATGAGAAACGTCCATCTTCTAATAAATTTAGAAAATAATTAAGATACTGTGAAATCAGTTAAGGGCACTTGAAACTTTTTAATAATAACGTTTTATTTGATAAAAGAATTATTTTTAACTGCCTCTTTTGTGTCTCAAACTCATATGTGTTTTGAGAAATCACTTTATTTACTATTAGAAAAAGTGAGCAAAATATTCTTAATGAACCCAAGGTATTCTTGTCACAAGATATAAATGTAAGGTTTCCCTTCTACTTAGTATGCTTGTCAAACTTGATTGTTGTTCATTTTCAGTGTGTCGTTGCTACCATAGCCTTTGGAATGGGCATTAATAAAGCTGATATCCGCAGAGTCATTCATTATGGTGCTCCTAAAGAAATGGAATCATACTATCAAGAGATTGGTAGAGCTGGCCGCGATGGACTTCCAAGTTCTTGTCATTTACTTTGGGCTCCAGCAGACATTAAATTAAATAGGTAAAAGAAAAAAAAAGTATTTATTGGTTATGCCCTTATAGATTTCTTTCTGCCCATGTACCTTTTGAAATTATTTGAGGCAATGTTCAAAACGAAGAGTGAATTTGCAAAAATGCATTTAAGGCCAAAGCAAAACAGAAGATATCAATTTAATCTCTCATGGGCTGTAGCTGATTTCTATTTAATGGTATTGTTTTTATTATTTTTCCTATGTTTCATTGTTTTTATGTTAAGGACTATTGTACATTACATCATTATGTTGTTAAGTGCCGTTGAGTCAGTTCTGACTCATAGTGACTTTGTATAGGGTTTCCAGTGCTGATCCTGGCCTGCCACACCACACCAGTAGTCCTATATTTATAGTGTATAAAATATAAGTATATATTTTTGTATAAAGTTTGTTGTTAAGTGCTGTTGAGTTGGTTCCAATTCATAGCAACTCTGTATAGGATTTCCATGGAGCTTCTGGTAGATTTGAACCTCTGACTTTATGATTAACAGTCCAGTGCTTAACCTATAGCAATACACCAGAACTCTAGAGAATTGTGTAATTAAAATGTTGAATAGTAAAAATATTAGTAAATTTTTTTTTCTTTTAAAATACTTGAAATCCATTCAACCTGACTTATATTTATTCTTGAATACCTGTACATATCCGTGCTTGAGATTGTCATTATCTAATCCCTGATAGTCATGGAATTTCTTCAAAGAAACTAGATAAGAATAGGATTACAATGAGTTGTATAGCAGCTTTGATTTTTTTTTTTAAAAGTGGACATGTATTTAATTGAACAATTTTGAATAAATTGAATAAATATGGCAAAATATATCAATTATAATTGCTTAAAGGAGGAATTAATTCTGACCCTATACTGGTATCCCATAATGTACATGTTTCCAAATGGGACCATCAGTGTTCTCTTTATGAGTCTTTAGTGCATTAAAAAGAAACTGTTTTGGAGCGTAAAAAGTCTATTGAGGAGGTAATAGGAATGACGCCTCATAGTTGGATCATTAGTCTCTTATAGAATTCCTTACAGAAATGCTTTTTTTGAGTCTTCGTGTGGTGCTGTGGATTAATGCACTGCATTGCAAAGTCAGTTTGAACCACAAGGTTGATGGTTCAAGCTCCCCAAGAAACCCTATACAGGGTATGGGTTGACACCAACTCAGTGGCACTTAACAACAGAAATACTTTAAGTTTCTCATAATAAATAAACAAAGACACTTTTAAGGAGAAAAGTTAAAATCCATATAGAGTTGTAGCCTTACTAGAAGCCAAAAAACTTGTGGTATAAAAATCAAAAGTAAAAACTTTGGGATTTATAACAATTTTCAGATGCAAAGAATTGATAGTTGAATCTGCATAGAGTTTTTTCAAAAGATATTTTCAAAAAATTGCTTGTCTTTTTATGGGGGTCTGTGGTACAGTGAAATAATACCACCCTTGTAGCCATAGCTTTTATAATTCCCACCAAATAATTGAGGTGTTTGTAGCCCACCAATGGGATTAGATAAGGAGCTCTGATAGCATAGTGGTTACAAATCGGGCCACTAACCTCAAGATCAGCAGTTTGAAACTACCAGCTGTTCCATGGGAGAAACATGAAGCTTTACAGCCTCGGAAACCCTGTACAGGGTCGCTATGAGTCGGAACCAACTCCATGGCACATAACAACAACAACAACAACAATGGGATTAGATGGTTTGCTAGAATGGCAAATATAGTTCATGGCACCCTTATGAGGGTTAAGGATGATGTTGTGGTTGTTAGTAAGTGCTGTCAAGTTTGTTCCAACTTGTAACAACCCTAGATAGGGATCTCAAGGAGCGTGGATTTGAACCACTGATCTTATGGCTCAAACCAACATTACAGTTGCGTGCTTATCCTACAGTGCCACACCTGGACTCCATATAAGATGTGCAGAGCCCTAATGAGGGGAATAGACAGTTTTGGCATTCTGCTAAGCTTTAAGTGAACCATTCCAGAGGTGGAAAGGGGAACCACTAACACTACTAAGAAGGATATCGTATGCCCCCACTACAGCATTTTTACAGGATCACTGCCTGGGAAAAAGGCACAGTGGAATTTTCTAGGGTATTTGCAATGTTCTTTATCTTGCTGACAGTTGGGACATACAAATTAAACAAAATAAAATTTGAGTATCAAATTACTAATATATTTTTACATGTTGCTGTGATATTTTTAATTGACAGGCACATCCTTAGTGAGATAAAAAAAGAAAAATTTCGATTATACAAATTAAAAATGATGACAAAGATGGAAACATATCTTCACTCCAGCAGATGTAGACGACAGTATGTATTATTTATTTTATATCAGTAACAAGGATATATAGATGATAATCCTTTAGGAAAAAGCTTGGCTAAACAATTATGCCTATTTTGAAAAATTACTTTATTGATGTTATTATTCAATGTGTTGGCCTTTTAATGCAAGATTTTCTGAACATTAGTAAACTGAAGCCAAATAATGAGGTCCCAGGTGAATCAGTTAGTGATGATTTCACTTCAATATTTTCAGCAATGAATTTAACACACATTTTTGTTCTTTTATTTAATTTTCAATTTGCTCCTGGGTAGAATCATCTTGTCTCATTTTGAAGACAAAAAACTGCTTAAAGCCTCCTTAAGTATCATGAGAACTGAAAAATGCTGTGATAACTGCAGAGCAAGGTAAATGTTCTTATTACAGATGGATATTCTAAGCTCTTTGCTTCTCTTTCTTTTTAGATAATTTTCAAATTGAGTATTTGTTAAGTGAATAATTAAGTGAAAGACAATACAAACAATATTAGAATATTTTGCTTTTTTAATAAGACAATAAAAAGGAAGACTTAAATCCAAAAGCATTAGTTGTTGTTGTTGTTGTTGTTTAAGTGCCTTTGAGTCGGTTCTGACCCATGGCTACCTGTATAGGGTTTCCGAGGAGCTGCTGGTGACCTTGAATTTATGATATTGCAGTTCAAACTGACTTTGCAGTCCAGTGCATTAACCCATAAAGCCACACCAGGTCTCTAACATATTAGTAGTAGCATTTAAAAAATGTTTTAGAAACACCAATAAAAAGGCAGAGATTATTAGAAAGTATTTAAAAACATGGCCCAAGTATATGCTGTCTTCAATAAACCCACTACAAGTAGAAAAATATAGGTAGATTAAAAATAAAAGGATTATTCTATGAAAACATACGTTGTTGTTAGGTGCCATGGAGTCGGTACCGACTTATAGTGACCTTATGCATAAATGAAACACTGCCTTGTCCTAGGCCTGCCTCACAATTATTGCTACACCTGAGCTCATCACTGCTGCCACTGTGCTACTCCATCTCGTTGGGGTCTTTCTCTTTTTCTCTGACCCCTCACCATTTTACCAAACATGATATCCTTCTCCAAAAACTGGTCCCTCCTGACAATATGTCAGAAGTATGAGAGACCAAGTCTGGCCACCCTGGCTTCCAGGGAGCATTCTGCTGTACTTCTTCCAACACAGATTAGTTTGTTCTTTTGGCAGTCCATGGTACTGTTAATATTCTCCTCCAACATCATAACTCAAATATATCAATTCTTCTATGGTCTTCCTTATTCACTGTCAAACTTTCACATGCATAAGAGGTTACTGAAAATACCATGCCTTAGGTGAGGTGCACCTTAGTTCTCAAACTAACATCTTTGCTCTTCAACACTTTAACGAAGTCTCATGCAGATTTGCCTAATGCAATACATCATTTGATTTCTTGACTGCTGCTTCCATGAGTGTTAATGGTTGATCTGAGCAAAATGAAGTCTTTGACATCTTAAGTCTTTTCTCCATTTACATGGCTGTTATTTATTGGTCCAGTGGTGAGGATTTTTGTTTTCTTTACATTGAAATGCAACCCATACTGAAGGCTGTGGTCTTTGATCTTCATCAGTAAGTATTTTAAATCCTCTTCGTTTTCAGCAAGCAACATTATATCATCTGCATATAGCATGTTGTTAATGAGTCTTCCTTCTATTCTGATGCACACTAGTCAAAAGAAAACTAGAGTTGTTGTTTTAATATCAGATAATCTAGTCTTGAGAGTAAATAAAATTACTAGGGGTAAAGAAGGACATTGCATAATGATGTTGTTGTTAAATTCTGTCAAGTTGGTTTTAACTCATAAGGACCCTGTATAGGGTTTCTGAGGAGCTGGCTGCTGAGTTTGAACCGCTGACCTTGCAGTTCAAACCGACCCTGCAGTCCAGCACTTCTTCTACAGCATCACACTAGTACTCCATAATGATAACAGTTATTATTACATCAAGAAGATGTAGCAATCCTTATTTAATCTATATGCTGTACAAATAATCGGACAAGATAGACTATGTGAAGAATGCAGCATCAGGATTGGAGGTAGAAGCATTAACCTCTGATACGTAGATGACACTACCTTGCTTAGTGAAAGTGAAGAGAACTTGAGGCACTTACTGAAGAAGATCAAAGAATACAGCCTTCAGTTGATAAACCTCATCATAAAGAAGGCAGAAATCCTCTCAACTGGACCAAAATGATGATAAAATGGAGAAAAGAGTGACGTTGTCAAGGATCCAATTTTTATTGGATCTAGAATCAATGCTCATGGAAGTAGCAGCAAGAAAATCAATGACAAAGTGCTACTTTGGGGAAATCTGCTGCAAGAAGATAAAGTGTTAAAGAATTTTCAGTTACACCTGACCCAGGCCATAGAATTTTCAATTGCTTCATATGCATGTTAAAGTTGGACAGTGATGAATAAGAAAGACTGTAGAAGAATTGAACCATTTTAAATATGGTGTTGATGAAGAATGTTGAATATACCTTGGGCTGCCAGAAGAATGAGCAAATCTCCCTGGAAGAAATATAGCTCCTTAGTAGCAAGGATGGTGAGACTTTGTTACAAGTACTTTGGACATGTTATCTGGAGGGAGAAGGACATCATGCTTTGTAAGGTCAAAGCTCAGTCAATTAGAGGAAGATCCTCTTGGGATGGACTGGAACAGTGATGACAACAATGGGTTCAGACACAGTAACTAATGATTGTGAGGATGGTGCAGGACCAGTCAGTATTTCACTCTGTAGTACCTAAATTAGCTATGAGTTGGTACAGACTCAATAATGCCTAACACCAAGTACCTTTAAAAATACGTAAATATTTACATTCAGGTAGATTTGAAAATACCATTAGTATAAATGAGAATTTTTCAAATAGACAGAGAACAAAATATATAAAGTACAGACAGGACAGCTAGAAGAAACAAGTCCACTATCAGAGTGGTAAAGTTTGGTACTGTTTTTTAGTTATTGGTAGGTTAATAAACTGTGTAGACTTTGGTCATCAGAGTAACAAATTTGATTTACATTCAATGAATCATACACTTTGTGTCTAGATCCTTTTCTTGAATGAAACCCCAAAACATCCAAACCACTGCCATCAAATCAGTTCCAACTAATAGTGACCCTGTGTAGGGCTTCCCAGACTGTAAATCCTTACAGAGCAGCTAGTGGGTTTGAACTGCTGACCTTGTGGTTAGCAGTCCAGTGCTTGTCATACAGCACCTCCAGGGTTTTCTCGAACTAAAGTAAGGTTAAATAAGAACCGTGTGTACCTGGTCGGACTTAGCTACAAACTTTTAAAGACACAGAAACAGACCTTGTTCCTAAACTGGAGATTTATGCTTCTCAAATATACATGGAATATTTATAAAATTTGACTGTGCATTAGAGCCAGCATGCATAAAATACTGTCCACAGGCTAATACTGCCTGCATTTTGTTTTGTAAATAAAGTTTTCTTGGCACAGAGCCATGCTCTTTCATTTATATATTGCCTACTAACTCTGCCTTTGCAGAGTTGATTTGAGAAGTTGCTAGAGAGACCATAAAGCTTAAAGTATCTATGTCTGACCCTTCACAGAAAGTTACCTGGCCCCTGTACTTGTTGTTGTTGTTGTTGTCAGGTGCCATCGAGTCGGAACTGACTCAGCAATCCCATGCACTGCAGAACGAAGCAATGTCCGATCCTGGGCCAACCTGACTACCGCTGCCACACTTGAGTCCATCAATGCTGCCACCTGGCCGATCTATCTCGTTGGGGGTCTTCCTCTTTTTCTCTGACCCTACACTTACCAAGCATGATATCCTTCTCCAGTGACTGTTCCCTCCTGACAATATGTCCCAAGTATGAGAGACCAAGTTTAGCCATCTTGGCATCTAAAGAGCACTCTGGCTGCACTTCTTCAAAAAAAGATCTATTGGTTCTTTTGGCAGTCCATAGCACTTTTAGTATTCGCCTCCAACACTACAATTCAAAGGCATCAGTTCTTCTAC